CTGATGTGCTCGACACCGGTTTCAAGCAGGTTATGGCCGGGAAGGGACATAGCCAAGCCATAAAAATCTAGACGTTGCAGAAAGTGTGGAAACAGATTTTGATAATTTGTACGATTGAAAAATGAATACTTGAAATGAAAACAAAAATATTCAATCACATAAAAATCAAACGGTTGTCCGTCGTCTCTTTCTCTTGCTGAGACAAAAGGTTGCAGGTCGGCATGTTGGATCGTAAATGTGAGCAATGGTATGGGTGTACATCACTTGGAGTTTGGAGTAAGAATTAGATGCAACATAAGATTCATGAAAACCTAACAAAAAAATTGTTAGGTTTGCACAAAAAAATTTAAGGATTCGAATAGTACATTTTTCAGACCTCCTATATGAATAAAATTCTATGTGAAGTGAATTAACCGCAAAAAAAAATAGAAAAGTACTTTTTCAGAACCACTGGAAGTGGTGAGGAGAGAAGCAAGTTTTTTTACAAAAAATCACTACCTTGCAAGCACCGTTTGTTCAAGAATTGAAATATCTGAATTTTTTGTTTATCTAAAAAATCAAATGTATGATTCTATAAGGTATGTAGCACGATGAACCTATTTGAGGGTTTCCCAAACACGCACATACATTCTCCTATTCACGAATACATTCGTTTGGATAGTATGTTCTCTCGTACATTGACAAATATATTTTTTTTTAGTATTTTATTAAAATATTTTTCCATTTTTTAATTTAAAATCGTGATTGGCTAAGAATTTGAAAATGTCCCCCCGGACAAAAGTTGTTTGAATTCTTCTTTTACATATCATTTTTTTTTGACAAGGTTTTTACAGTTAACTTAAAAATGGATTATATTAATTTATAGTTCAATAAACTAGTTTTCGCAAAGCTTGGTTTTTACCAGACTGCTAAAAACGACCTTTAGTTCTATAAATAAGTATTCACTGAAAGTCAGAAAACTGTTTTTTTTTTTACGTCTTTCGAGTTCGCCTTGCAGTGCTTAGAGGATGTCTCCTTTGAGCTATGCTTTTTGTTAATCTACTGAGAACAACTTATAGTCTTATAACTTGTTTTTTATTGGAAAGGATTTTCATGCACATTTTGAGAATCACAAGACTTTTTGCCTTTTTCTTTTGCCTACTTTATCGAAAAACAGTTAAAAACACTCTTTTTTATGTATAAAAAATCAGAGTTTGACTTTTACTTTTTCATTATGTCAAAAATGTTAGTTTTTTTTTTTTTTTACGTTTTCACGAATTCAGTGTTATGAGTGCAATCACAAGTCTTAGATCCATTCATACAAGTAAAACCATGTTGTCCGTCTACAATAAAACATAGCATCGTTGGCGAAAAAAGTACAATGGCCGGGTACAGGGTAAATTTCAACTCGTCATACGGAAAAAAAGGAAGTACTAAGAAGGTAAACCTGTGAACTTCTGCATTCTATTCCCATACCTCCCGAATTACTGTAAGTTTTCTCAAATGGTTTTTCAGCCAAAGTCGGGTAATGGGCAAGAAAGGGATTGAGGTGAGTGCGAGAAAGATATCACGCGTCCTACTAGTGAAGGGGCTAGCTGGTAGGACAAAAATAGGGCATAGCAGCAGTGGAGATGGTGGCTTTGCTGCAGTAAGTCTTGCTGTAGTGAGGTAAAGAGGACTGATGGTGGGTCCCTGAGTCATTTTCTGAATTTTATCTAATTCTTAAGTTTCTCGCAAAAAACAAAAAAAAGGTCTGAAGTAGCTCCAAAATTCTCGGAGCCAAGCCGGGTATTGGCCCTGGTATCTTAATTTTTGAGATTCTATTCTTAGGCCACTTGGATTTTTTAGTAGGTACCTAGCCTCATTTTCATGGAATTTTCTGATGACTTTTCTGAACGTGCTCGTTATGGGACGCTCGTCCCGGTTCCCAGTTTGTGCCAATTTGTGAGGATATGGTTGTATCTATGTGACGCTGGAGCCGGTTTCCAGCAGGTGTTGCTCCCCACCAATAGATGGAGCTTGTTGTTTAAGAAAAAAAAAAAAAAAAAAAAGTACTAAGAAGGTAAGGAAGTTTTCCTTGAACCTAGGACTTTCGAGAGCAGGCAGGGTAGTTAACTTTCCCTTACTAGGAGGTGACCGACCCGGTATCTGGGGGTTCTGAGAGATCTGCAGAGGACGGCATCAGCTCTCCCTCCCCAAGATCACACTCCCAAACAGGCTTCCTAATGCATTGATGGTATTCACCAGCATTCAGTCTTCTGTGCTAGGGATGCTGGCCCGAGTTTCCAGAAGGTGCTGCCCCCCCCCCCAACAGATTGGAGGCGTGATCCAAGCTGTAGGGAAGTATGCTCTCACCACCCTGCTTAGCAGTCTTGTGGAGAGTTTTGTTAAAGAAAAAAGAAGGGGTAACTTCGGCGCAGTCACCAAAACAGTTTGTAATTGCATTCGAAACTGCGTTTTAGCAGTTTCGTCAGTGCCCGAGTTTCAATTGTAGTTGAGACTTGGCCCGAGTTTCAATTGCAGTTGAAACTCGGCCCTATGCAGTTCAGTCAGGGCCCTCGTCTATCCAGGAAAAGCAGATAAAAATAAAAATAAAAAAAAACATCCCTTATGCTGTGATTGCGGTCCGATACAGGATGCTAAAGTACTTGTCTGGAACTCAATGAAGCGTGGAATCCGCCCTGCCTGGCTGGCAGGGCGCTACAGGGACCTCACAACAAGAAATAAAAAAGGAAATCGACCTGTTTCATGTTCCTTACTTCCTGGCCAGATACATTCCTCAAATCACCCGTGACCTGAGGCCTTCCCGACGTAGGTGGATTCCAAGTTCCTCTTTTCTTTACTTTTTTTTTTTCTATTTTTTTTTTTGCCTCCATCCCTTCCCCGAGCCCCCCACTTCTTCGGAGTAGGCTACTCTTGAGACTTCGCGTTTGCCTGTGAAGGGTAGTGCCTGCGAATCTCGGCTGTGGCCGAGACATCTCGGCCGTGGCCAATCTGGGGTGTGGCCGAGATATCTCGGCCGTGGCTAGTCCGGGGTGTGGCCGAGACATCTCGGCCGTGGCCAGTCTGGGGTGTGGCCGAGACATCTCGGTCGTGGCCCAACCATGGGGCTGTTTTTTTCTTTTCTTTTCTTTTCTTTTTTCTTTTTTTTTCCTCTCTTCTAGCTGCGGAGAGGCCCGGCGCGGCGCGGCAGGCGACCGAACAAAAANAAAAAAAAAAGAAACAGGAAAGAAAGAAACGGCCATGTGCCTGACTGAACTGCTAGAAAAAGCAAGCCCGAGTTTCAAATGCAATTACAAACTAGGGCCCTGACTAAACTGCAATTGAAACTCGGGCCCTGACTAAACTGCAATTGAAACTCGGGCCCTGACTAAACTGCTAAAAGGCAGTTTCGAATGCAATTACAAACTGTAACCCTGACTGCGCCGTAGTTTTCTCAAAAAAGAAAGGAAAATGAAAAGGATAGGAAGTTTTCGAAAACATGAACCTAAATCCCACAAAACCCAAACACTTATATTCACTCTGAAAAATATATGGCCGAAGGATTTGCACCATGGCTTCACGCATGCCCGACTCGCATACAAGCATCTACTATTGTTGTAAAGAAACACGGGGCCGGCGTGCAAGTCTCGGATACTTGCAACACAGGACGTATTAGGTAGATATGTCTACGCAACAATTCTGCAGAATAAACAAACATATTTAATTTAAGTCTCTTCGAATATTGATGGGGGAAATGGAAAGATTATCATGCTTGAAAACCCAACCATATACGAGAGATTCATGAGGCAACGAGGCAGCTTCGCCTGACAAAGATCAGCACATCACAGTTCAAACCTATTTGACCTACCAACCATTGAAACCGTCAGGTTGCAACTTCGTCCGACCGTCCTCGGTGAATCAAGCCTATACAACATGCCGACTAGTAGCGACTACCAAAAGCGTCCGCTACCCGGCCCGAGCTGGCTACTTGAGTGACAGGAGAGAGAGGTAACTTCTGAATCATCTTTTTAGATTCATGGCTCCTTAGACGGGAGAGCTTGCATGCGCGAGATAAGAGGTGGAAGAGAAAAGGGAGGAGAAGGAGAGAGGCAGAAACTGCCAGAAAGCCTGAGAAAGGCCTTAAAGTTGGTGTCATTCGTGGTCAAACTGAGATGTGCTGGAAGTAGCCACTCTGCACACAACGATGCAATCCCTACTGCCATGGAGTCAACCCAAGAAAGTGGAAGGAAATAAGTAGGATTACAAGAGTCATAAGGGAGAGATCATGGCACATAAAGAGACAAAGATCAAGAAGGAAGTGGAAAGGAAAGAGGGTTCACAGCAGGGAGAAGACACAGTTGTCAGGGAAAGACGAAGGGAGGTTAAGCGTGGGCCCTCAAAGCTAAGTGGGTGTCAGCCGAGAAGAAAAGATGCCGCAGGCAGAATGCAAGAATCAAGAAAACAAGAGAAAGATACTGTCGGCGAAGGAGCTTACAGGGTTGTGACCGAAAACTACAGCGCGGGCACAAGCACGAGATCAGAAGAGATATTTTGAAGTTCCTGGGCACACTCTCTAAGGCGCAGAAAGATGAAGCTGTAAAAGGATATTAAACACCTATCCTTTCCACACTACTCAAACAAAAGGACAGTTTTTGTCAATTTTGAAGCTGCCACTTGAAATAACGTCAAAGCACACGACCAGTGCACAGTGTCACACCTTTTGAATCAAAACCAAAAAGGATGTGCGCAGAAGGTAGTGTGTCCTGGGGGCGAGTCCCACTTGGCAGGATCCTCCATTTCTGGCTGTTGATCTTCGTGATTTTATGGTTAGAATTGGAGAGTTCGTGGAAGTGGGACTAGGGCCCCGGAGGAGAGAGAGCCATAATCTGGCGGTGTGGTACAAAGCCTGCGACTCTTAATAAATAATTGTTATGATTCCGACAAAAAATATAATAACGTAATGGTCTTCTCCCCTTCTAGGCGCGACTCCAAGAAGAACCACTTCCTCAAAAACCACTTGTAGGCCTCAGGGCAAAGGTCATTGGCGCACTCCGGGACTCCCACCTGGTCTTGTTCCAGACCTGGTCTCACTTCTGCAAGACTAGGTTCCTTGCATGCAGTTCCTTGATTGGTGCGTCAGGTATGTCGGAGCCACCCCATCCGTATTCAAACCGGAACCACCCAGCGGCTTTTGCAGCAGCATCACGAGATGCTTGGGTGCTGGAGGGAGGTCGAAATATGACATGCTGTTGTGGGGACAAAAACTGCAAGAGGTGGAGCACGTGCTGCTGAGGTAGTTTCTCCCACTGCGACCCCCTGAAGATGTGGGCGAATTGCGCGCAGGCAGTCTGGACGGGATCCCTCAGATACGGAGGGCGAAGTAGCAACTCGGCAACCATCTCATCGAAGCAACCCGGTGCATCGCGCCCAGCACCAGTTCTCGCAATCGAGCTGCAACGGGAATCACGCGCTCAATCTCGGACTTGCTGACGTACTCGTACGACACAAAACTGACAGATGACTTGTGAAGCTTCTGCAGAGATTTCATCACTTTCCAGTCCACGCTGTGTGGAGGGGTGGATTTTCTCTGTTTTGTACGAAATGTCCTTCTCCTTCTTCTCCGGGTGCTCTTTGAAAGTCCTAGTACTTGTACCACGTCCTTTTCCTGCTTCTCCTCCTCCTGGTCCTTCTTCCCCTTCTCCCCCTTCTCCCCTTTCTCCTCCTTGTCCCCCTTCTCCTCCTCCTCCTCCTCCTCCTCCTCCTCCTCCTCCTCC